GCTGAAACAGTACAGCTTTAGGATTACTGACACAGCTACAAAGCAGTCTTGATTTCAGTTGAAGAATATGCTCTATATATCTAAAAAAATACTCAAGTACTATAGACACACTAAATCATCATTCAAACAGTATCCTCAGATGGTAAATGTAGTGGTCTCTACATCAATAATACTACCTTGAAAGCCTCAGAGGTTTTTTTTTAAGTCTTAAAATATTTTTATTTTTAGGAATATTTGGTTACAATATCACTGTTTAGATCTTAGATTCCCTAAAGTTTAAAGCTAATCCTACAGAGTAACTTTTACTCCAAATTAAAAGTAATTATTACTTTCATGTTTTACTAGAAAGAAAAAAAAAACATTGAAAGGTTAGGTATTTCCTCTGGGTAGAAAATGGGGTCACTTTGGTAAATATTGAGATTGAGATAGTGGAAATTTCAAGAAAACTTGCCATATAAAGGAAGGATAAAATCTTTCAAATGCAGTCAGACAAAAACGACTGCACAAATATGACTCCCCGGAAAGGCATTTATCCTAATGAATAAGATAAGCCAGTAGTCACCTCCTCAAACGAGAGCCGCAAATCAAAACGGAACTTGCCAGTTCTCTGGTGGGGTCAGCTCTGACCTCCCACCAGGGAAACTTCACTCTTCCATCCCCGGTAGAAGCGGAAGGACTGACGGACAGCCGCAGCCCTTTCAGCCAACCGGAGCATCCCCAATGCTCGGTGCCAGGACCAGCCGCTGCCCAATGCTGCCAGGCAGTGAGGAGGTCTGTAAACCTATTAAAGCAGCATTAATGTTGTAACGTGTGATCTATTAAAAATCCAAATAAAGAGGAAAGGAGGCCTGAGAGCCAGTTTCTCCAGTGCAAAATGTCATGCTAATGATGAGGTTTTCAAATATTCCAGCTTTTTTTTAAGAGGGTGGGCAAGAGTTTAGGGTTGAGCCATTAAAAAGCCAGTTGGTAGTAAGAAACTCTTCCTTTAGAATTTATAAGAAGGGCAAAACTTCACTACAGGCTGAAATTTACTATCCTAGGTCTGGAATATTTAAAAAAATCAAAGATTAGAAAACTGTCCTAAATATGGAAGGAAAAATCAACCAAACACAAACCAGCCATTTCAGATGATTTTTGGCATTCTTTCAATGCAAAAGTGGATTTATTTTTAAAATATTTTTTATAAGTCTGAGATTCATTACTATTAACTACTTTAGTAACTAAAATCAGGACCAGGTTATTTTAATACTGAATTACCAATAAGTGACTACCACTGAAGCTTTTTTAAAGCTTTTCAGTATGAAGACGTATCATACTTTTCAGAGGAATGTCAATGCTCTGATTTGCACTCAAAAGCCAGGAAGTTATGGGTGGAAATTTCATCTGTGAGCCACATAGATGTATGAAAACATTTAAAAAATTAACAGCGTATGTTAAAGATGCAATGTCAGCCCAATTTTTATTCATAACTAGACTTCATTAGTTTTGTGGGTTGAAAATTGACATTTAAAAATAAAGACAACATAAGTTCTTGTGACTTAATTGAGTGCTCCTTAAATAAAGAGATACTTCAATGTTTGCAGACTGTTAACATCTTTCCAAAATAAGCTATGCGCTGGTGCTACTTAGTTATATTTCCCTACCACCCTAAGGAGTCTGTATTGCTGATGGGAACCATTTCTTTTGCTAAATCGCGCCTGCAACTCTAACAAGAGCACTTAAGCCTGCTAAATGCAGTCTCCTGGGAAACACTATTGTTAAAAAAAACACACAACAAAAAACCATAACCGAAAAAAACAACCTGGAATGAATTTTTAAAGTGAACATTCTGCAATCGTTAAAAGGATGAAGGTCCTATGAAGAAGAGAAAACTTGTTACCGGAGAAGGAACAAAAAGCCAAATGTAAGCAGAGAGGACACGCCAGTTACCCCCGAGGGAACAGAGGGAGGTACAGAAAATTAACTAATGCATTTCTACTTCCCACCAAAACCACAGACGGGCCAGTTCAGGGGACTAACGCGTATAGAGTCTGCAGATAAATACACGTCTTCCTCATCACCTAAGAGTCTTAAAGAGCACACTTTGCTGAATTTTTTTGCTTCCACATGAATAATCTCACTTACACACCAGAGGTGGATATATACACACAGGCAGCATTTGCAGCGTGTACGTGTGTCAGCTTGGAAGCAGCTCGGCTCCGTCTGTGAATTTGGCCTGTAGTCTTTTGGCATGGATTTTTACTGCCAAACTTTAACAAACATTCTCTGCAGCCAAACCACCTCGAACTGTTTCTTATCAAATTTCACGAGCAAAGTGGGTTTGCGTCTGGTCAATACGTGGATGAGAGATCGTTAGATGAAATTTCGCTTTGCTGAAAAACGACAACAGCATCAAGCAACAGCAGGACTTAGCTGTACGGATATGCACAAAGGCCACTGGGATTCGGGCAGCTGCTAGCTTCACCAGAGCTAAGACTACTCCACCTAGGAAAGCCAAGATTAGCAAGACTCCTGCTTTCTACCTCAACCAAGAACAGCAAACGGACATAAGGGACAGATGTTCTCTGCTGAGGGACGTGCCCATCTGCATGCCCTCTCACTCACCTGTAAGGTGTGCTTGCTCTCTGGCATCTGAAGTGGCACCACTTGGGAGTTACACCTTGTACAGGACGAGTAACACCAGGTGTACTGCTCAGGTTTGGTACCCTAACAAAGTATTAAATGACTGAGATGGGAGATAATAAAAAAGAAACTACTGCTCTGAATTTTTCATTAATAGATCAGGTCAAAGCAATCTCATTCTATTTTTCACAAAGCACAGGAGGATGAGGACAATGATTATATCTGAATTATAACAAATACTTAACATCAATCCAGATGACGTCCTTTCAGACAACATAAGGTAAAACAGCCTCTTTGTTTTCTCAGGTTACCACAACACACGTTTAACCTGTATTCAGAGACGAGTTAACAAGGGTACAAAACAAACAGGACTGCACTGAAAGAATACAGCAATATTCCTTATTCTCACTGGATGCAGTGGAGGGTATGCCTGTAGGGCTCGAAAGCTGTGTAGGCACCACAAGGCTGAAATGCAGGACAATTAGTGTACTCTAAATTATTTCCCTAAAACAGATCTTGCCTAACTATACCTGGTTTTATTGCCTTGCTAGTCAACTGCCATGTATAGTCACACTTGAGGTAAAAAGATTCGCATCAGCCAACAAGAGACACCTGAGCTGCCGATTTTAAACTAGTCTGCTGGTCTTCCCGGGCTCCCTCTGCAGGCGCGGCACTGGTACCGAAAAGGAAATTGCCGCGGAGCACCTCATCTACTTAAGTCAGAACCATGACAGAGAATAAAATCCTGTGCCAAGCAAAGACTTAAAAAAAAAATCTGTAGTTATCAGAAACATCTCAATGCTTATTTTAGGTCTAGAAATACTTGTAACATGACGAAAGTGGAAGCTCTGTGTTGAGGCTCCTGAAATGTAACTCACTTGATAGTTAAAAAAAATCTTCAAGAAGGAACACAGAGTTTTTGCTACCAGGCTGTTACAAACCCTAACCTTGGAACATCACTCCAACAGGGAACCTGGAAGAACAGGTGCAGAAAGTGGAGGCTGCTATTATTTATAACTTGGCAAGGAGGACTCCCAGAAACTCAGCCAAAACAAACTGATTCTCCTAGCTACAGGTAAAACCACATTCTGAGTAACTTTAAAAGTCAGGAAAATATATTAATCATAAAAGTATTTCAGTAGACAGATATTGGCTTTTTTCTTTAGTATTTGACGGAGAATGTTTCAAAGAGTACATTGCTACCAATGTTCCCGACAGATGTGCAGTTATACCACCTGACCACATCATGAATTAGCCTTCCCAGGAGGAACTGCACAAAAAGTAAAACAAAAGAAAGCAGAAATTCCTTGACATCCTGCAGATGTCAAGGAAATGAATCAGTTTGTTTTAAATAGGAGGCGATTAAGAAAATCTTACTTCTAAAATGTTCTGTATTATGTTAGGACTTTATAATTTCACTGTTCTCAGCACGCTTCTCTTTTTCATGTCTAGGGACACACTGAACAACCCATTCATTTCAGAACTCCTACATAGAGTCACAAGGATTGCTACAGCTTTTCCATTTAATCATTAATACTAAAACATTAAGTATCTTATCTGAAACACATGGCATAGCAGTTTATCAAAGCAGAGATGCTCATGTGATCTAATAAGGAGAATATGCTGAGCCTATTTGTTACAGAGCAGAATATTAGTTTTATACACATTTTTAGAAGGAAATACTGGTATTTAACCTGAAGCCTATCAGAACTATCTGACAAGATCTCTACCTAATGTAAACCAGACTGACTTGGGCCGAGAGATGTGGTTCAGCATAGTAAGCAATTTTCACTTTCTCCGCTCAGCGCAAAAAATTCCCAGGAATTTAATACCTGGGAAAATCACTGGAGTAATTTTTGAAGAAAACACGGGTCACTTTTTTATTAATTTTTTTGAACACAGTTTCCTGATGAAAATCATGTCTACACGATGACAGCTGCTGAACATTCCTCCCTGTCAACTCATTTATCTATTAACTTTAAAAAAATAAAAAAAAAGGGGGGTACCAGAGGGAAGATTCTGATCACTTGTACTTGTATCTTAACTTGACACTGTACCATGTGAAGAGCTCTCCTGATACATTGAGGGTCTTTTGCACATTTGGTATTTCTGGTTTCTGCCAGGGTTAGTTTCTTAGTGTAATAATTTCAGCCACCAACTTTAAAGTGAGTGTCCTCTGCTTTAGCAAAAGGTTTGGAAACAAATGCCCAAACAAATTGTAGCAACTGCAAATCAAATGCGAATAAAAGAGCCCAAAGGTTTTCTGGTTTATTTTTAGGGCTTCTTCCTCCCAGTGCTGCAGTATGTCTATCATTCTCCAAATATCATGTAGCAAAATTGTTAGTTTATTTGGGATAAACTGAAGCATAGGTGCTTACCTGTAGGAGTACTACTGCGAAATGAAGAGGAGGGAGTGATTGGAGGGGTGACTGGAGGAGTAAGGCTTCCACTGCTGTGGCGAGGTGGAGTAGATACATTCCCACGGGACACTGTGCTTGATAAAGTCAAAGAGAGTTTCGGCTGAATCTTTTTCTTCAAAGACTCCTGCTCACGTCGAGCTGCATCAGTCATAAATCTAGAACAAGGACAGTCATGAGGATGAGAGGCTTGAAACACTCTCTGCAAGTAAGCTTTAGGTAAAGTATTTTCCACCCTCGGTGACCAAAGGGGGCTTAACATGTCATGTCAGCCATGATGAGTTCCTCTGCAACACACAGATTTCAAGAATACAAAGTCTTCCATGAACAGCTTTATTCCAGTGTTCAAGAGCTGGGCCATTTGCTTCTGATTTCAATAGGATTTACATCAGACATTTGCATCATGTACAAACACACACTTATTTTAAACTCCAACTAGAGACAAGCATTGCACACAATATTTTAATAACTATACTCAATTCTTTACAATAACTACACTCAATCTTTCTGTGAAAAAGTAGCTGAGTAGCTATAATGGAGAAAAATGTTAGGGGCAAATGTATTGAATCTGAGGGTCGAAGGGATGGGATGGATTAGATTGTGCAGATACTGAATTTCCAACCTAGGATAATCATATCCTTTTTCTAAAGGTTTTAGACAATGTTGCCTGACATAAAAGATGTCCAGTTAAACCGCAATTCCACAAACCAGAGTTCCCAGCTCTTGAAAATCAAATGAGCTCTCTCTGTAGAGCCTTGGTACGTGCTGCTGAAGGCCTAACGCAACTTAAGTACTGTGACAGTGCCAGGTATGCGATTCCTTTTATTTCAACCCATGAGTTTTTTCACTCCTGCTCCTCCTATTCTCCCCTCCATCCTGCTGGAGCCAGGGCTGTGGGGGTGTGAGGAAGTGGCCTGTGGGGGTACCTGGCTGCTAGCTGGTGACAACCCATCTTTCTACCACATTTCTTGCCGTGCAACAACTATATTTTCTATGTGACCAAACTGCTTGTCGTGTGACTTGATGTTCCTTATCAGATGCGAAGACTTGGAAGCAAGCCCTAATGTTCCTCCAGAATCTAATAGAGGACTGCGAGATCCACCTTTAGCTACAATTGAAGAGCAGCAGGTGCCACAGAGAGAGAGGAATATTGCCACACATCTGCTTCACAGTTTTTATCCTGCTGTCATATGAAGGCTCAGGCTGGCTGGACAAACCCATTTCGCAGGCCATAGAACCACACAATCGCATCGAATGTGACCATGAGGTCAGACGAGGTCTCACAGTAACACATAGTATCTGCCACAGCATCTGCAACAGGGTGCTGCAGGACAGTCCAGCTTCCTCTTTGGGCCTCAACCAACAGTTTAATATGAATCACTATATTCATTTAGGCTCCACAGAAATCCAACATTTTGCAACTGCTTGCAACACACAGGCTGTTTGGGTGGAAGCTGACCCTGAGTCTAGAACTGACTGCACCGATGGAGAGACCTCTGAGAAAAATCAGCTCCTGGGAAGAGGTTTTTAGGCATCTGTGCCAAATATGAAAGAAAAATCTGGCCTTGATATCAAAACTTAGCTCTTTTTCAAAAGAGGTTTGTGTAGTTTAACGCAGCCTCGAAACACAGTGGCATAAAATGTTAAGTACCGTTAAAGCAATAAAGATGTATCCCGTCCATCCATACCATGGAGGCATTAATAAGTGGATCTTTGCCATGATACATAACAACAACACACAATCCACAGGCAGTAATAAACAGGTATTATGACATGACAGCTTATCTTCTTTGAGCAGAGACAATACATCATGTCAAACACAGATATGGCATTTTTATGAAGTTAATATTTAAAAAGCAGACATCCAGAGTAACAGTTCAGTTTTAAATTTTTCTTCGCTAAAGAAGGGTGCAGTTATTATTGACAAAACAGTCCCCAAAGAGATGTATAAATTTTGTTCAGGAATAAAACAAGCAAAGGGATCTTAATAAAATGGGCATTCAGAACACATTTGCCTTCCTCTAACTAGGAAATGTCTAATTCACTATACTTGGAATTTGTACTATGATGTACACTTGTTTCTGGATGGGAAGCCTTATTCCTTAAGAAAATGTTATGGCAACATTATAAATCCTTGGAAACTTGGAAGATAACCTCAAGCATGACACATTAAAAGCAGCAGAATGAACTCTGTTACTTAATAAACTTGGCCACAAATAACAACGTTAAAATAATACTGAGGTATAACCAGTCTAGTTGAAGTCCACAAAAATGACGGAAATTTGAATTTATTCAAAATAAATTCAATAATAAATAAATAAATGGCAGTGGTTTTGAATAATAAATGGCTATGGTTTTGAAAAGGAAACGTCTAAATGGACTAAAATAAAACACTTTTCAATATTTTACTTGAAATGCAGTATTATACTTGTGCTTAACTATGGTGGCGTTCTTCAAAGCTTACAATATAAGCATTTTAATGATGGGTATAGAACGACATTTCCTACTAAGGCCTTAATTTTCGTGTCGGAAGTACATTATGGTTGCAACATCAAGTGCTCAGAAATGAAACATGCTGGAATTAAAGTCGAATACTGGTCTCTAAATTACACGATTGTATATCGTTTTCTCTGCGTCATTTAAATGCACGAGATGTGTGGGAAACAGAAAATGAACTGTAACTGCCAAAGGTTGCTCTAGGATCACTTCGGCTATATCCGATCTCCTTTTTTAATAGTCTCTTCTCATCATCTTCAGGTCCATTTACTTGCTGAGCAAATCCACCTCTACTATTTTCAACTCTTATTCTAAACTCCATAACCCTGCCCCTCCTCCATTTCCACCACAATGCAGATTTCAGCCATCTTCCCTGTTGCACAGGACTGTGTTTATGCCTCGTAAGCCTCTCTCTCCAAATCTAATATGCCACACCGGCACAGGGAAACAAGGAGAATCACTCAGTTCCCAGCCGTTCACCCGACAAGTACAGGGCTGGTGTGCTTTCTTGCAGATGGTTCATAACACCAGGGAGGAGCCCACTCCTTAGAAAGAAATCTCTTCCGCCTTTTTTTATTTTCCTTGCCCTTTCACCTTCCTAATCCAACTCCCTGCTCCAAAATAGGTAACAGGTAAGTGCAATGATTTCTGAATCAAGTGCTTGCAAGAACTTTAATAATCATGAGCAAAAAATATAGTATTTCATTACCTGGAATGGTTCAAGTATTTTTATTGAAACTTTCCCAAGAAATTCACCCTCCAGGAGACACCCAGCATGGAAAACTTCAGCCCAAACAGCTGAATGTTGGCAACATAATAAGCAACTGAAACAGTCTTATAATGGAAAATATTGCACAACCTTCCATATAGGTGGCAATATAATTCAGACAGAGTTAGCTGTTGTTACCAATATAAAAAGTCACAAAAAAGCAGAGGTGATGTTCAAGTGATAAAAAGCCCTTTCAAATCAAACCTTTGCAATGTTTGTAAGTCCCGTCACCCCAAAAAGTTTTGGAATCAAGAACGAACAGAAGAACACACTCTCCCAGGAATTTGCTTGCGCTATTAGCGGGTACCGATTGTTTCAGGATCGTGCCTCAGGTATGACGATGTCAGAGGTAGTTTATCATAAACTCTTACTACACACAGTTCTAAGAGCCCCAGACACACACATTCACCCCGAGGGTAAGGGTAGTTATAAAAGTGAGATCCAAATAAACTGCAATTTTAGGAACTGTCCTCTGCACCTTTTGCTGCCACTACAAGCAAAGACAAAGCCACGTGGTTTGACTTAGCTAATGCTGGGAATACAACTGTTAGGTTGAACTGTTATTAGATTAAGAAGAAGAAATCTGGGGAAATCTAAAAGGTGGGAGCTCAGGAGTAAGCTGTCTTGTCTCCTGGAAAGGATGAATGGCTTTTCTCACTTGAACTTCGCCTTACTACACTGTTTATGTGATAATGAGGAAAGAAATAAATAAGCAAGCTTCATTCCATCCATTAACTCAAATTATCTGATGAACACCCTTGAGCACTCTCACATACCAGTCTTTGTAGGGTAGGGAAACAGAAGTGTTCTGCAGCTCTGTACAAACCTCTCTTGCTTCACAGAAGCTATCAAGCAATTTTTTTCTTTAGAGATCTTCCATTACATTTTTAGCAAAACCCTAAAAAGAAATGTCAGCATGAAAAGCCCCATTAAGATGTGTGCATAATCGCTGACCTCCCTCCTCACTATTTACAGAGCATTTACATAGTGCTAAAATATGATTTAAGGAAAAACAAGCTAAAGGGAGTTTTGTTATTTCAGATAAAATATTAAAAATGTGAAGAAACAGTACAAAATAATAATCCGCTCTCAATTATTCCCCAAATCACATTTCACAACAGGGCCTAACGAGATCAACTTAATCATTAAATTTCTAAGTTTCCAGACAGGACAGTTGCAGCCCTACATATATTGTAGAAACACCATGCATTTAAGTTGATCTTCAACATACACCTTCATCTGAGATCAGGTCTTACAGAAGAATTCAGTGTTCATTCTCAGTACCAGTTGTACTCAGACTCATCTATCGAAAGCTTTCCCTATGTCCTAAAGAAAGAATATTTATGACAAGCTGATCAGTACCTTAGAGACACGGCACAGAATCAGATTTCTTTTATTAGTCCTAGGAATAATTTATTGCTAGTACAATTCTTTCATTTCCATCATTCAACCTGTTTTCTCAAGATGTAAAAAATATTATCGCTACCAAATCAGCTACAGTGTATTACACATTCCTCTGAATATGGGCATCTCCAGCAGATGTAGCAGAGGTTATTAGAATGCACAGGTACCTTAAAAAGAAAGTTAAGGCACTGCATTTCTGCCTCATCGCTGAAAAGACTGGAATACAACACACAGTCATACCCGCTCTGCTGTCACTGGACTCAAGGCTGCAACCTTAGGAAATCTCTTCAACACGTGGAGTTCAGCATTACTTTAATTGTCTGTTCTTTACACATTCTTAAAAGATACAGTAAGGCACAATAAAATACCCACCACGTAGATATTTTTTGCTTCTAGCATGGAAAATTGATTCAGACAATTGAGCAATTTCATATTTAAACATATGTAAGTGGAGCTAATGGATGGAGATATGCCAAAAAATCTATTGT